AACCACAGGTTCCCAATTTGTTTTGTTTTGTTTTGTTTTTCTGAGACAAGGTCTTGCTATATAGTTCAGGCTGGCCTTGAACTTACTGTGTAGTCCAGGGCGGTCTCTCACTCACTGCAGTCCCCCTGCCTCAGCCTCTCACGTGCTGGGATTACACCTGGTGGTGGTGTACACCTGACTTAGGCCCTGTTGTTACCAGGAATCACAAAGCCAGCCCGCATAAGCACGTGAGACCCTCTCTTTGGGGTGGCTCACTCCACACCCAAAGCACAGCAGATGTCCCAGTATAGTACTGTCCCTGCTGTCACTTTCACAAGGTCCTCCTCTTTCCTCTCTCCATAGCTGCTGCTGTCCTAATCATCACTTGTGTGACTAGATTCCTTCCCTGGAGAGGGAGGGCCACTACAGTTCACATGGCTGCAGAAGCCACTGATGCCAAAGTCCCCTGTGCTGCAGTTTCTCTGCCTCCACCTGGAGCCTGCTGGACATCCCGCCTGGACGGTCAAGGAGGGCCACAGTGGCACCCACACGGACCCCTCAGAGCCGCCTCCCTCCCAACAGCGGGGTATGCTTTTACAGCTGTGCTCCTGATTTGCTCACAGCTGCCCTAGTTCTGAAGGTCAAAGCCCTTGTTCTATCTCCGACCCCTCCCTCATTCCACCCCATACCCAGACCACACTCTCCACCACCATGTGCCACCCGCCATCTGACAAAGCCTTGGTCTTTGGCCAATGCTACCCTGGAGTTAAACGTCAGAATGCGGCTGGGACTTAGAACCTCTATGGGTGAGCCCATGGCAGCCCTGGACATGCCACGGCTGCTGCCTCCCTCTGCCCTGCCCCCTGCTTCTCCCCACCCCCCACCCCTTTCCTTTCCCTTGCTCCCCCAGCCTTCCTACTCCAGCACATGCCCTCGGCTGCTGTCCTGGCCCACGTCCTGGACCAGGCCCCTCGGGCATCCGCACACTGCTCTGGGGGCGGCTGCTCCAGGGCCAGGGTTGGCTTTCATTCTCTGCATCCCTAGCATGGCAGGGTTCCTGGCAGTGCTTGGAATTCAGTGTGGGTGGCAGAGGAAGCGGGCTGGAGTAGAAGGACATGTTGCCACCTCTCCCCTCCCCTCAGGGCACAGAGGAGTTGTCACAAAGTTGTTCAGCATGGCACAGTCCTGTATGTCAGGCATTTCTAATTTAAGGTACATACTCTGGGCTCACAGCCCTCCTACAAGTGGCAGATAAATGTCACAGCATTCTAGCATGTGGTGTCATGGAGCAAGATGCACCAGGGTCCCAGGTTGGAGTAAATCTGGGCTCCGAAGCCTTAGAAATGAGGGTGTGGCTGCCTCTCCTCACCTTGTCCCTAGCAAAGGAGCAAGGGTGGGCAAGTGAAGAGGGTTCCTAAAGTTCTCCCCACACCAACATCCTCCTAAGCTCTGACAAACAATGGAAACGCTGTCTCCTCAGTTGTGTCCAAATGAAGCCATTGCAAAGATGGTGACAGGAGAAGAAAAGGTCGGGAGGCCCCAGTGCACGGAAGAGCCCCCACAGCTTTTCAAACCACCACTGGGTGTGGTCGGCAGACTGCGGCAAGGTCCACCCTGGGATGGCCAGCAGAGTGACATCTACCGTGCTTCCTGACATAAATAGACTTCGCGCTCCTTTTTATTTCAAGGTGTTAGAAATGGTTTCCAAAACATTTTTATAAATGTCAAACTCACTGTCAAGCAGAAGCCACCTGGAGAAAAGTAACTGACAGGCAGCTAAATTAGGGAGCTGTAATTTCGCCAAAGTGTTCCAGAGACCTTTTCAGCCACAAGAATGGAGCTGAAATTACTCAGTAGGGCCCAGAAGCAGCTAGAACTGGACACAAACTCACTCTGTCTCTGTTGCTGTCTCTGTTTCTCTTGCATGTGTGTGTGCACACACACACACTCATGCACACATACACACAGTGAACCTGTGTGAGATGCGCCAGGCCCCTCTCCACTGTAGACCCCCTTGAAGCCCCGTGACCCCTCATGTACTCCATAGGTGCTCATGGAGACGCCCACACAGCAACCTTTGCCCTCCTTTCTGGTCTTCAAGATGGCCACAGAGCTGGTCGGCTCCCTTCACTTACAGTCTTGACCCTGCTGTCCACTGGCTGTGACTGCAAGCTGTCACCAGGCCTCAGCGCTGTTCCTGAAAAGCCACCTGGGCAAATGTGGTGGGCTCACAGAGACCTCTCTCACCCTTCCCAAGGCGATACCCTGGATCGTTCTCACAGCCAGCACCATAGGGTAAGATGGGAGTTTTCTAAAGAGGAAAACTATCTGGGAGCTGAAGCCCTAAAAGGGAGTGGGCTGGGGACAGTGGGGAGTAAGATGCAAGGGACGACAGGAAGGGCAAAGGCCCAGGGGTAGGGACAGGGCCACAGCTAGTGAGGGGTACAGCTCTATGCTTCATGACAAGAGCCTGGAAGCCATTCCTGCCCTTGAATGAGCTGTCAGCTCATTCTGGCCCTTTGCCCTGAGAATATGACAGTGAGTACCCGTGCTTGCCACATGACACTGTTGCTAGTGGACCCCAAAGGCCCACTGGCCGGATTTTCATGAGATATGTTGGCAGTGGCCTCTCCTGGTGTTACTTTGACAACTCTAGATTGGGCACCAGGTGGGAGGCAGGTGTAGGATGCCACCTCTGGTGATTCGGCAGGCAGGACACTCAAGA